CTCTACACGACACATTAACATGTATGATCCACACAGCCGTCTCTACACGACACATTAACATGTATGATCCACACACAACCGTCTCTACACGACACATTAACATGTATGATCCACACAGCCGTCTCTACACGACACATTAACATGTATGATCCACACACAGCCGTCTCTACACGACACATTAACATGTATGATCCACACACAGCCGTCTCTACACGACACATTAACATGTATGATCCACACACAGCCGTCTCTACACGACACATTAACATGTATGATCCACACACAACCGTCTCTACACGACACATTAACATGTATGATCCACACACAGCCGTCTCTACACGACACATTAACATGTATGATCCACACACAGCCGTCTCTACACGACACATTAACATGTATGATTCCCACGTGTCTCTATTAGCCATCACTCGCCCCCTTAAATGCCCCGCGAGCCACTTAAAACATATAATGGCAGTAAATAATATCTTCTACATTTAGTAGCAGAACTTAATGGCACAAATGAATAATTTGTTGACCAGACCACACACTAGAAGGTGAAGGGACGACGACGTTTCGGTCCGTCCTGGACCATTCTCAAGTCGATTGTTAACAAGGCTAGTTGACCACTGAGAATGACTCGTTACTACACTTGTTCCTTACCTTCCAGTCAATCGTCTTAGCATGATGACTGAGAGGTACTTAGTAATATTATTATTATTATTAACTTTATTGACAAACTTAATTACAGTTTTGCCTAATTTGAGGATTTCAATTAAGTCTTGTTAAAGTGAGGATAATGGTGGTATTCACTGTCACGCAGGACAGAGGGTCATACACAAGACAATAGGTCTAAACTGTAGCCTGAAGCACACACACACACACACACACACACATATATATATATACATATATATATATATATATATATATATATATATATATATATATATATATATATATATATATATATATATATATATATATATATATATAGGTTACAATCAATGTTTTAATGTATGGATAATGTATATTAGTAATAACTTAACCCATGGTGCTAATTTATTACTTATGTAAGTGACTTGAGTACAAAATTGATTACTTATGTACTTAAGTAATAATTTATTACTAAAAAAATAAAAAAAGATATTACTTATGTACTTAAGTAATATTACTTATGTACTTATTATAAGTAATAAATTACATAAGTAATTTATTACTTATCTAAGTTGAAATAACTTACGTTGTTACAAGACAGTAAGGGCCTGATCAACCAGGCTGTGACTCATACGTCAGGCTGCGAGCAGCCGCGTCCAACAGCCTGGTTGATCAGTCCAGCAACCAGGAGGCCTTGTCGACGACCGGGCCGCGGGGACGCTAAGCCCCGGAAGCACCTCAAGGTAAGTAGGGTGTCTCCTGTTAGAACTTGCCCGCCTTCAACACCCCAACAGAAGTAAGTGTGCTGTGCTAAAACCATTCAACGTGATTACCTTTGACATGTTGTTGTTGTTAAAGATTCGCTACCTGGAACAACGTTCCAAGTAGCACGGGCTATGGTGAGCCCGTAAAAACCTTTGACAACTCCTTTAGGTCAGCACTACTGGAATCCTTGTATTGGTTACCGCTATCTTTATATAAGCGCATGTGTGGCTGTCTATCCAAGGATGGAGGCCAGATGCTTGTGGCTAGCCTCTCACGAATGTGCAGGGTGAACACTTTGAGGCACGGGACGGACATAGGCTGGTTCGGGTTGGTCCTATTTGTCTTAAGAGCGGGTTTAGCTCAATAGTGTGGGCCTCACCACACATAATCGGTGAAAAGTGGCTGTCATGCCCATCCTGTGGGTGGTAGTGGACCCACATACCCATCCTGTGAGCGGCAGTGGCCCCCATACCCATCCTGTGAGCGGCAGTGGACCCCATACCCATCCTGTGAGCACCACTGGCCCCCATACCCATCCTGTGAGCGGTAGTGGACCCCCATACCCATCCTGTGAGCGGTAGTGGACCCACATACCCATCCTGTGAGTGGTAGTGGTCCCCATACCCATCCTGTGAGCGGTAGTGGACCCCCATAACCATCCTGAGAGCGGTAGTGGTCCCCATACCCATCCTGTGAGCGGTAGTGGACCCCCATAACCATCCTGAGAGCGGTAGTGGCCCCCATACCCATCCTGTGAGCGGTAGTGGACCCCCATAACCATCCTGTGAGCGGTAGTGGCCCCCATACCCATCCTGTGAGCGGTAGTGGACCCCCATACCCATCCTGAGAGCGGTAGTGGCCCCCTTACCCATCCTGTGAGTACCAGTGGCCCCCATACCCATCCTGAGAGCGGTAGTGGTCCCCATACCCATCCTGTGAGTACCAGTGGACCCCATACCCATCCTGTGAGTACCAGTGGCCCCCATACCCATCCTGAGAGCGGTAGTGGTCCCCATACCCATCCTGTGAGTACCAGTGGCCCCCATACCCATCCTGAGAGCGGTAGTGGTCCCCATACCCATCCTGTGAGTACCAGTGGACCCCATACCCATCCTGTGAGCGGCAGTGGCCCCCATACCCATCCTGTGAGCGGCAGTGGCCCCATACCCATCCTGTGAGTACCAGTGGCCCCATACCCATCCTGTGAGCGGCAGTGTACCCCATACCCATCCTGTGAGTACCAGTGGCCCCCATACCCATCCTGTGAGTACCAGTGGCCCCATACCCATCCTGTGAGCGGCAGTGTACCCCATACCCATCCTGTGAGTACCAGTGGCCCCATACCCATCCTGTGAGCGGCAGTGGCCCCCATACCCATCCTGTGAGCGGCAGTGGACCCCATACCCATCCTGTGAGCGGCAGTGGCCCCCATACCCATCCTGTGAGTACCAGTGGCCCCCATACCCATCCTGTGAGCGGCAGTGGACCCCATACCCATCCTGTGAGTACCAGTGGCCCCCATACCCATCCTGTGAGTACCAGTGGCCCCATACCCATCCTGTGAGTACCAGTGGCCCCCATACCCATCCTGTGAGTACCAGTGGCCCCCATACCCATCCTGTGAGTACCAGTGGACCCCATACCCATCCTGTGAGTACCAGTGGCCCCATACCCATCCTGTGAGTACCAGTGGACCCCATACCCATCCTGTGAGCGGCAGTGGACCCCATACCCATCCTGTGAGTACCAGTGGCCCCCATACCCATCCTGTGAGTACCAGTGGCCCCCATACCCATCCTGTGAGTACCAGTGGCCCCCATACCCATCCTGTGAGCGGCAGTGGACCCCATACCCATCCTGTGAGTACCAGTGGACCCATACCCATCCTGTGAGTACCAGTGGCCCCCATACCCATCCTGTGAGTACCAGTGGCCCCCATACCCATCCTGTGAGCGGTAGTGGACCCCCATAACCATCCTGTGAGCGGCAGTGGCCCCATACCCATCCTGTGAGTACCAGTGGCCCCCATACCCATCCTGTGAGCGGTAGTGGACCCCCATACCCATCCTGTGAGCGGTAGTGGACCCCCATACCCATCCTGTGAGCGGTAGTGGACCCCCATACCCATCCTGTGAGTGGTAGTGGACCCCCATACCCATCCTGTGAGCGGCAGTGGCCCCCATACCCATCCTGTGAGCGGCAGTGGCCCCCATACCCATCCTGTGGGCGGCAGTGGCCCCCAAACCCATCCTGTGGGTGGCAGTGGACCCCATACCCATCCTGTGAGCGGTAGTGGCCCCCATACCCATCCTGTGAGCGGTAGTGGACCCCATACCCATCCTGAGAGCGGTAGTGGCCCCATACCCATCCTGTGAGTACCAGTGGCCCCCATACCCATCCTGTGAGTACCAGTGGCCCCATACCCATCCTGTGAGTACCAGTGGCCCCCATACCCATCCTGTGAGTACCAGTGACCCCATACCCATCCTGTGAGTACCAGTGGCCCCCATACCCATCCTGTGAGTACCAGTGGCCCCCATACCCATCCTGTGAGTACCAGTGGCCCCCATACCCATCCTGTGAGTACCAGTGGCCCCCATACCCATCCTGTGAGTACCAGTGGCCCCCATACCCATCCTGTGAGTACCAGTGTACCCCATACCCATCCTGTGAGTACCAGTGTACCCCATACCCATCCTGTGAGTACCAGTGGCCCCCATACCCATCCTGTGAGTACCAGTGGCCCCCATACCCATCCTGTGAGCGGTAGTGGACCCCCATACCCATCCTGTGAGCGGTAGTGGCCCCATACCCATCCTGTGAGTACCAGTGGCCCCCATACCCATCCTGTGAGTACCAGTGGCCCCATACCCATCCTGTGAGTACCAGTGGCCCCCATACCCATCCTGTGAGTACCAGTGGCCCCATACCCATCCTGTAAACCGTAGTTTAAAAGATAAACAATATTGTAGACTCGGAAACTTGAACCCCAAAATTACATCAACAATTTACTCTCAGTTTTGTCGGCTAATTTTCAGACTCTTCAAAAAGAGCTGTAAAAATACTTTCAGACTCGGACACATTTTCATGCTTTCAGACATATTTTTATTGTGAATACAGGTGATAGAGGAGCTAGAGGAGCCCCTCTAATGGCCTAAGGCGCGGCGGGACTGCTTCCGTCGCCTCCTTGGCCGGTGGCTCTATACTACCTACCTCTGCAGCCTCTTCAGGAGAGGCGAGGGGGTGAGAGGAGGAGGAGGGTGAAGAGGAGAAGCGGAGTTTTTATCAAAGTAACCCGACCTGCGGGCCACACCCACCGTGTTGGGGATGGCCCGGCGGGTGAGGGCCAGGCGGGTGAGAGCCAGGCGGGTGAGAGCCAGGCGGGTGAGAGCCAGGCGGGTGAGGGCCAGGCGGGTGAGAGCCAGGCGGGTGAGGGCCAGGCGGGTGAGGGCCAGGCGGGTGAGGGCCAGGCGGGTGAGAGCCAGGCGGGTGAGGGCCATGCGGGTGAGGGCCAGGCGGGTGAGAGCCAGGCGGGTGAGAGCCAGGTGACGCCTCACCCAACAAGCGACGCCTCACCCAACATGCGACGCCTCACCCAACATGCGACGCCTCACCCAACATGCGACGCCTCACCCAACATGCGACGCCTCACCCAACATGCGACGCCTCACCCAACATGCGACGCCTCACCCAACATGCGACGCCTCACCCAACAAGGTAGCAGGGTAGCAGGTCCACGGAACAGTGCACATTACATATTCAAGACCCTGGCGTAGCGGCTGGCATCATAAACTGTAAATACACTCACGCAAACCAATTTGCAAATGCGTAAGTGTTGGCATACTTCCTCTATCATACGCCCAGCGTCTATCATACGCCCAGCGTCTATCATACGCCCAGCGTCTATCATACACCCAGCGTCTATCATACGCCCAGCGTCTATCATACGCCCAGCGTCTATCATACGCCCAGCGTCTATCATACGCCCAGCGTCTATCATACGCCCAGCGTCTATCATACACCCAGCGTCTATCATACGCCCAGCGTTGCTCGGCTACGCACCGTAAGTGTTGGCATACTTCCTCTATCATACACCCAGCGTCTATCATACGCCCAGCGTTGCTCGGCTACGCACCGTAAGTGTTGGCATACTTCCTCTATCATACGCCCAGCGTCTATCATACACCCAGCGTCTATCATACACCCAGCGTCTATCATACACCCAGCGTCTATCATACGCCCAGCGTCTATCATACACCCACCGTTGCTCGGCTACCCACCAACACGCACGTCTCTTCACAAAAATATATATGGTTTCTTGCCATATAATGGATAAGGGAGGGGAATTATGAGGGGAAAGTGCCAACTCACTACGACTATATAGCACTGGGAAGGGGTCAGGATAAGGATTTGTGATGGGACGGCGGGAAGGAATGGTGCCCAATCACTTTGACATTCGGGGATTGAACGCCGACCCGTGTTGTTAATGATCAGAACGTATTAAATAGTATACAAAATCAATAACCCAATTTGGACACATGGCTGCTTCTTTGGCCACATGTATTCTAAACATGTGTCACTATATTAAATAGTGTTTTTCTGTGTTCATGACACTGTGAGGTTTATGGCCTGATGGATGACCTCATTAAGTATATATATATATATATATATATATATATATATATATATATATATATATATATATATATATATATATATATATATATATATATATATATATATATATATATATATATATATTTTGTTCAGTGAGAAACCACAAGGTCTCCTCTGAATACTTTTTATTTTCTTCTCCGAGGCTATGGGTCCCTACATTGGCACCAGAGGTGGTACCCTCACAAACTTTATGTATATATATATATATATATATATATATATATATATATATATATATATATATATATACTTCAGGTGGGGGCTGGTGCACCTTTACAGTACTCTGGAGCAAGTTAAGCAAGGACCACTCCGAGGCCTCCTACCGTGTTCTCCAGCACCGCATAAATCAAGCCAATGGACCCAAGCGAGCGGCACTATTCCCTAATTACGTACTAAACTGTCTGCCATTTTCTGGCAACTAAATAACTGAATTTTGAGACAAGTTGAGGAACAGGTTAGCGTTGCTTGGGGTCTCCAGGGCCCAGATTCACGAAGCAGTTACGCAAGCACTTACGAACGTGTACATCTTTCCTCAATCTTTGACAGCTTTGGTTACATTTATTAAACAGTTTACAAGCATGAAAACTTGCCAATCAACTGTTGTTATTGTTATAAACAGCTTCCTGGTGCTTCGGAGCTCATTAACTGTTTAATAATTGTAAACAAAGCCGCCAAAGATTGAGAAAAGATGTACACGTTCGTAAGTGCTTGCGTAACTGCTTCGTGAATCTGGCCGCAGGTTCGTAACTGCTTCGTGAATCTGGCCCCAGGTTCGTAAGTGTTTTCGTGAATCTGGCCTCAGGAGCTAAACATTTTAGGACTTTCCAGGAGGATGAAGACAAGTTAATCCTTAGGCGAGATGTGTGTTTACACGGTCGAGCAATAGCTCTTTGGCCCCGACTTTTATTCCTCTGGTCAGTTAATGCAAATGAGTTTCATTTAGCATGTTGCTTTCAAACTGGTCGGGAGCCGGTCGGCCGAGCGGACAGCACGCTGGACTTGTGATCCTGTGGTCCTGGGTTCGATCCCTGGCGCCGGCGAGAAACAATGGGCAGAGTTTCTTTCACCCTATGCCCCTGTTACCTAGCAGTAAAATAGGTACCTGGGTGTTAGTCAGCCGTCACGGGCTGCTTCCTGGGGGTGGAGGCCTGGTCGAGGACCGGGCCGCGGGGACACTAAAGCCCCGAAATCATCTCAAGAATCTCAAGATAACCACCTAGTTGTGCTTGCAGGGGTTGAGCTCTGGTTCCTTGGTCCCGAATGGTTCCATGTAGGTGTAGCTGGTTGGCTGGGGACTGTTGCAAACACTATTCTGAAAGGCTCGATACCCCGATACCCATGGGTGTTTTTATGTTACAGGGAAAGTGGGTGCTGCTGACGATATTCTAAATGCCAACAGTGAAAGGCTCGGGCTATGCCTACCGTGTACGCTCTCACAGTATATACCATTAAAAACTGTGTGGAGGTCGCTTAAGGGCGATCAAATTAGAGTCTAAGTTTTGGTGTGTGGCGAGAAACAACGAGGCTGGGCGAGGGAGAGGCATAGTTATCATTCCTGACATCATCAGCGGGTCCAGGGACGCTAATGGTCACCTCCCTCACCACCACCCTTCCCTAGACACACACACACACACACGCACACACACGGGACAGTGTGAGAGAACGGGACAGTTGAGAGGCGGGACCAAAGAGCAAAGCTCAACTCCTGTAAGCACAACTAGGTGAGTAAACACACACACACACACACACACACACACACACACACACACACACACACACACACATTACTTGATTAGGCAGAGATGTGGTGGAGACTGACTCCATACACAGTTTCAAGTGTAGATATGATAGAGCCCAGTAGCCTCAGGAACCTGTACACCTGTTGATTGACAGTTGAGAGGCGGGACCAAAGAGCCAGAGCTCAACCCCCACAAGCACAATTAGGTGAATACACACACACACACACACAAAAGACAGTTAACTTATGTACAGATTCCCGAGTCTATTGGCCACTATAATTTCTACGAGGAAAGGCTAAAGGACCTGAACCTCACGTCCCAGGAAAACAGAAGGAAGAGTAAGGGGGAGACATGATAACCACCTACAAAATTCTCAGGGGAATTGACAGGGTGGACAAAGAAAAACTCTTCAGCACGGGTGGACCACGAACAAAGGGACACAGGTGGAAACTTAGTACCCAGATGAGCCACAGACACATTAGAAATATTTTTTTCAGTGTCTGAGTAGTTAATAACGAGAATGCATTAGGCAGAGATGTGGTGGAGGCTGACTCCATACACAGTTTCAAATGTAGAAATTATAGTGCCCAATAGACCCGAGAGACTCTGCCCACCTAACAGCAGAATAATAACTCACCCCACACACTTTCAGTTGGGAAAGCTACCAAATATAGATACCGTTCTAAAAAGATGAACCCAGCGGGTTTTCTTCCTATTGGGGAGTGTTGTACATGCCGCTATGGCGGTGTGTCCACTCACAGGATGAGTGGCTCTGCCCAATACTGTCACTATGGTGTGTCCACTCACAGGATGAGTGGCTCTGCCCAACAAACGCTTGTCAGCGTAAAATTTCAATAACTAGACTATCAGTTATCATTAACTGAAAGTAATAACTATCGCAATATAAAATATGATTAGCTTTAGTCATAATATATTCAGTAATATATTGCCCGCTCTCTCAAATTGTACATAGCATTTAACAACTGTGGAATTACTAAACAAGCTATCATGGGATTACTTAACAAGCTATCGTGGAATTACTTAACAAGCTATCGTGGGATTACTTAACAAGCTATCGTGGAATTACTTAACAAGCTATCGTGGAATTACTTAACAAGCTATCGTGGAATTACTTAACAAGCTATCGTGGAATTACTTAACAAGCTATCGTGGGATTACTTAACAAGCTATCGTGGAATTACTTAACAAGCTATCGTGGGATTACTTAACAAGCTATCGTGGAATTACTTAACAAGCTATCGTGGGATTACTTAACAAGCTATCGTGGAATTACTTAACAAGCTATCGTGGAATTACTTAACAACCTATCGTGGGATTACTTAACAAGCTATCGTGCAGTTACTTTACAAACTATCGTAGGATTACTTAACAAAATACCGTAAAAGTCATTACTAAGCATAAAAATGCCACATTCTCAATTTTACTTAAAATTGTATGAAATTTGAGCGAGCGTTCAGCATTACCTTTGAACATAAACGGTGACGAGCTAAAACACACTTGTTGAAAAGAAGAAATATCGTAAAACCAACCAAGTAATTATGCCAAAGCTGCCGGAGCTTGCAATTAACTGAAGCCATTATTTTTACCCTGGGCCCCAAACCTGCTGAATTATTTCTTCTCGTCACGACTAGCACGCCACCGCTGTTCATGTTCCACCAGTGCCTGCCGACCCCCCCCCCCCAGTGCCCCCCCCCCCCCAGTGCCTGCCGACCCCCCCCCAGTGCCACCAGCCACCAAGTGCCTGCTGCAGGCGGTGGCCCTACCATCCTGTCTCCTCAGACCTTCTGTACTTCACTTTACACCTTCTCTTCAAGTACCACAACATCGCCGCCCCTTCCTCTAGCACCACCACCCCCCTCTTCTAGCACCGCCACCCCCCTCTTCTAGCACCGCCACCCCCTCTTCTAGCACCGCCACCCCCCTCTTCTAGCACCGCCACCCCCCTCTTCTAGCACCGCCACCCCCCTCTTCTAGCACCGCCACCCCCTCTTCTAGCACCGCCACCGCCCCCTCATCAAACAGAGCCACCACCACCAGCCCTAAATCTAGCACCACCACCACCGCCTCCCTTACCTAGCCCCTACCCTCCACCTCCCCTAGCACCACCTTAACCCCCTCATCTACCACCAAGAGAGAGGGGATTGACGCCCCCTGGTGAAACGAAGAGGGGGCAGAGACCGGTGTTAAAAACACGAGGACAGTTCCACTTTCCGATGGGTTCATCAGTACTAAACGTCGGGCATAACGGGGTTAAGTGGGGGTGGCGTCACTTGTGCTCTA